AGGGGGAGTTGGATGGGGCGGAGGTTCTGGGTGGGGGGCGGTCAGGGGACTGGGAACAGGGGGGGTTGGATAGGCGTGGGAGTTCTGGGGGGCCTGCCGGGGGATGGGGGGGTGGATAGGGGTTGGGGCAGTCAGGGGACAGGGAGCGGGGGGGGGTTGGATGGGTCAGGGGTTATGAGGGGGGCGGGAAGTGGGAGGGGGCAGATAGGGGGCAGGGGCCAGGCTGTTTGGGAAGGCACAGCCTTCCCTACCCGGCCCTCCATACAGTTTCAGAATCCCGATGTGGCCCTCGGCCCAAAAAGTTTGCTCACCCCTGCCTTAGATGAATAGGTTTGATTCAACCTCAAAAACACCTGGCTTTTTGCTTTCTAAATATATGGTTAATTTTAATGCAATAGCTCGTGCCATTAATCCCTAACTTTCACCAGAAATACAAGTGGATGCTACCTGAAAGCTGATAGGCAAAACTCAACAGGTGTGTTCAGAGCCAGTTTGCAGCAGCAGATAAAGATCATACAGAATCTGACTCAAAAGATGGTAGGTAAATCTTATCCTGCCAGGTCTAAGGAATCTCATCTGGGCTATAGCAAGTGTGGGCAAGTTTGATGAAGGCTCCATTACATTACTCGTTCAATATATCTCTGTCCTGACCTTCAAGACTTCAGTTCTGTGCCTCTCCTGAAAACACAAAGCCTATGATGTTAGATTGCTGTGTAATTTTGTGATATGGAAAATGTCCCCTGGCAACCAGAATGAGATCATCAAACTCATTTTACTTGTGGCCCCAGCCAGTTTCAAACCCAGATTTTTACAGTAGAAAAGCAAGTGTATTTAATGTACTTTGTCACCTAGCCTGCACTCAGTTACCTTAATGTAAAAGAGGTGTGCGTGGGCAACTCTCATTGACTAGTATTCTATAGTGCCATATGGGAGACCTGGTTTTAACTTCCAGTCCTGGCCACATTTGCTTAAATGGCAAAACTTCCATTGTTTTCTACAGGATCAGGATTTTACTTCTAGTCTTTAATTTGCTAGCCAGTTAGGGTACATCTATATGGCAAGCAGAAACCCGCAACAGCAAGTCTCAGAGCCTGGCCTACAGACACAGGCGGGTGCTATTGCACTAAAAATAGCAGTGTAGATGTTTGGACTCGGGCTGGAGTTCAGGCTCTGACGCTCACCCCCTCTCCTTAGGTTTCAAAACCTGAGCTTCAGCCAGAGCTTGAATGTCTACACTGCTATTTTTAGTGCCGTAGTGCGAGCCCAAGTCTGTAGACTGCGCTCTGAGACTTGATGCCATGAGTTTTTGCTTTGCTGCGTAGATGTACCCTTAAGGTCTTGGAGTACTGTCAAGATCCTGGAGAGGTAGGAATGTCTCATATCATTTAAACACAAGTGATTCAATCCTCAGTTGTTCCGTTTGGTGCATCTGGGAAAGAGGACTACTCATATAAATGAAATAGGCACATGATTATTTGCAGAATTGGGGCTTTAGTCTGTAAAATCAGTACTGCCAGATGTAGTAGGAATCCCTGATGTTACTTTGGTACTTGCTTCAATAAAAAAAATTTTTTAAGAAGCAAAGTAGCTTCAGAAAGGTGTAACTATAAGGGGTCCGTCTGCTGGCTTAGCTCCTGGCAGATCCAAGTGCAGGAGCAATTTCAAAAGCTAGAGGAGGCTTAGAGTGTCATATATGTGACACTCTTAATTCTGGAGAGGTGGTAGGCTCAGCTTGCATCACTCTGCAGTGCCTCCAGCAGCCAGTTCCTGGAGCAGAATTTAGAGCAGTTACAAGAAGCTCTTTGTCCTGTAGAACAGCGTTGGCAACTTTCTAACATATAGTGCATAGCAGTGTAGGGAGTATGATAAAAAGAGGCATGTGGTGTTTTAAGTAAGTTATATAACATCAAAGTGTGCAGAATGCCAGGTCTTGATCCAATTCCCATTGATGTCACTCCTCTACTTGGGTCTGACACTAACAAACCATCTAAGCAGTGAGCTCTTAGATATTACTACTGACATGCCTCAGGTGCCTTGTGAGACATGAGGCTTAAGCTCAAAGGCCGTTGACTTTCCACTGACTTCACTGAGGCAAGCTCAGGCTCTTAAACAGCTAAACCTTTTCTAGTGTTTTTATAGATACCACAGATCTAAATCAGCATTGTATTACTCCAGTTGTCAGGTGATGTAACTCCATAAAAATCAATGGATTTCCACTGGTATGAGCCTGGAGTAACACAATGCTGAGTCAAGCCCTACATATTTAATAATGGCTAAACTATTCTCTTCTAACCTATTTTTAAAATAACACTGGAGCAGAGATAATTAGGAACATACATGTGGAAATATAAATGTTAAGAATTCTGTTTGAGCTAGTACTTTAAACAGTCCTATTGTTTTATTCTAAAATGTCATTACTCTGTGCAGTTAACAGTTTAAAATAGGATCATGAGCTGAGAGGGGGAAATCTTGGAGGTCAACTAACAGACCAATACACCTTCTCCTGTACTGCAAATGTTTATTTGCTTCCCTTGTGGTTATGTTTACTTAACATGCTTAAGGACTTGTCTATGCTTACAGTGCTACAGCTGCATGCTCTAGTGCTTAGCAAAGATGCTACCTATACTGACAGGAGAGCTTCTCCCGTCGACATAGCTACCGCTTCTCGGGGAGGTGGAGTACCTATGTCAAGGGGCAAAGCCCTCCTGTCAACATAGCGCTGTCTACAGCAGAAGTTAGGGTAGTATAACTGGATCACTCAAGGGTGTCGATTTTCCACAGCCCTGAGCGACATAATTATACTGACATAAGTTTGTAGTGCAGACCACGGCTGAGAATATATAGATATCACTATAAGCCAGGTCTACACTACAAACTTACATTAGTATAACTACATAGCTCAGGTATGTGAGTTATGTGAATTTTTCACATCCCTGGGCCACGCAGTTATACTGACCTAACCCCCGATGTAATCAGCACTAGGTTGACGGGAGGGCTTCTCCTGGAGGTGGATTAACTACGCTGAGGGAAGAAGCTCCCTCATGGGCATAGTAGCATCTGCGCTAACGCTGCGCAGCTTCATTGCTGCAGCTTTAAGTGTAGGTCTGTCCTCAGCTTTGTTCTGGAGTTACAGTTTGAGGCTTGGCCGTGACATACCAACATAAGTTTGTAGCATAGAACTATGTTGCTCAGGGGTGTGGAAAATCTGCAGTGCTGTAAGTGTAGACAAGCCCAGCACTTGCTCCTGCTGGTAGGTCAGCATTACTGATGGGATGCTGTTGGCCCCCTGACAGCTGCTAGAAGAGGAGAGTATCCCTTGATCATTAATGCTAATGTATGCAACCCCCACCACCATGCCTGGTACCCCAGGCACACATAGACAGTGGAAGTACCCGCCCTGGGATGGGTTGAGCTGTGTGTGCTGCCGCTGAGCCCACGGGTGCTGCTCTCAATGCTGGCCTGTCTCTGTGCCCCTCGCTCTGCAGCCCTGTTCTGCCGCATGCCCCTGAGTCGTGCTGCTGCTCGCACTGTGTGGACACCAGGGGCCCAGCCTGGCTGCGGCTCTAGGGGCTGCCACAGTACCAAGGCTGAGTGTGGCCCCGAGGCCATGGCGCGAGTCACAGCAGCTGAGGGCGGGGCGGCGCAAGTCCCGGCACTGCAGGGGGCTGGAGCCATGTCCAGGAGGCGGCTGTGTGCGGGCACATGGTGGAGGAGGCGGCAGGGAAGCAATGGGCATGGTTGCAGGTAAACAGGGACCTGCCCTTCTGTGCCTGGAGCCCCTGGGTGCGGGTGGAGCCGCGGCCACACTAGGGTGACCAAATGTCCCAATTTTATAGGGACAGTCCCAATATTTGGGCTTTGTCTTATATGGGTGCCTATTACCCCCACTTGAGCGTTGCCAGGTGTCCGATTTTTGACCGGAATGCCCAGTCGAAAAGGGAGCCTGGTGGCTCTGGTCAGCACTGGTGACTGGGCCGTTAAAAGTCCGGTTGGCATGGCTGGTAGGCTCCTTACCTGGCTCTGCGTGGCTCCCCAGAAGCAGCAACATGTCCCTCCACTCCTAGGCAGAGGGACGGGCAGGGGGGCTCTGCGTGCTGCCCTGAACGCTGGCTCCGCAGCTCCCATTGGCCAGGAACTGCGGCCAATGAGAGCTGCGGGGGTGGTGCCTGCGTGCAGAGGCAGTACTCACCACACGGAGCCGCCCCTACACCTAGGAGCCAAGGGACATATCGCTTCTGGGGAGCCCCCCTGAGGTATGCACTGCCTGAAGCCCTCTCCCTACACCGTCTCCTGTACCCCAACCCCCCACCCCTGAGACCCCTCACGCACTCTGAACCCCTCATCCCTGGCCCCACTCTGGAAACCACACCCCCAGCCGGAGCCTTCACCCCTCCTGCACCCCAGCCCTGTGAAAATGAGTGAGTGGGGTTGGGGAGAGCAAGCGACAGAGGCGGGGGGATAGAGTGAGGGGGGGGGGGGGGCGCAGTGTTCGGTTTTGTGCCACCGTGATTAGAAAGTTGGAAACCCTACCACGCCTCCCCATCCTGATTTTTCACACTTCACACTTATCTGGTCACCCTAGTCCAACTAGGCCTGAGGCAGCGAGTTAAGTGGATCCGGTTTCCTATCCTTTCGTTCAAGTGGTGCCAACACCGGGCGTGGCCCTGAGGTGATGGGGCGGGGCTCGCTGATTGCCGGTGACATGGGCGGGCCAGGCTGGCGTCCCGGGGGGGGGGAGCATGGATGGATGGCGTGAAGTAATCAGGGTGTAGTTTCGTGTCCCCGTTCGCCCCCCGTAGCCCGCTCGCGCCTCACTCCCCCAGCAGGTGCGCACGGAGGACCTTTCTCCCCCCCCAACAAGAGTCGGGCAAGAGTCTCGGGGCTGTGGCGCTCTTACGTCTCCGTGTCACGTGACAGATCCCGGCGTGCTCTGTCATCCAACCGCGGATGACGCATACGGAAGCGCTGCGGCTGCTGCTGATTCTGCCACGGACGGTTGTGAGGCTGCGGCTCGCGCCCGAGTCTGTTACGCGAGGAGGTGCCACCAGTGCGCATGCGGCTCGGAAATGGAGCTGTGAGTGGGGGGCGCGGGGTGGGGGTGTCTTGGGCTCCGGGCTGTGCCCAAGGCGGGGCGGTCCCTCTCCCCGCCCCCACAATCCCCCCATCCTGGTCCTTGCCCTGAGCGCTGGGTCCAGGTGTTGTGTCATCCCCCCCCCCCGCTCCCCGTGAATGACCCTCCCCGTGCTGCACTGGTAGGCAGCGCTCCCGGACCTGCGCAGAGCCCCCCCCCACACACACACACACACGGGGGTGGGGGACTCGGGCAGGGCTGTCCTAGGGCCTGTGCCCTACGGCAGGCCAGAGTAAATGTTCCCCACGGTCCCTGCTGGCCTTGTGCTCTGTGGCCCTCCCCGTGGTGTTTCCCCCCCGCGCGCCCAGCCCACCCCTGCTGCCGGCGCCCGGTGTGAGACAGTAACCCCGGGAGAGCGGTCAGCAGCCTCGCAGCTGGCTCCTGCGGGAACGTAACGGGGAAGCAAAGTGACCAGCCGGCTCCCCCCGGGACCGTGGGGTAGGCAAGGAGTGTAGCCTTGGACAGGCTGCTTTAGCGCGTTGCCTGCTTCAGTGCGAGCACCCTCCTGAATGTGTGTCCCCAGGCATCCTCTAGAGGCTGTTCCGATCTGGGGTGGGGGCGGCTCTTGTTCAGTGGGGATGTGCGGTTGAGGAGAAGTTTTAAGTCCTGTTGGCCTGCTTGACTGGCAGTGAGAGGAGGTGTGATTGGGTGGGAGAAGGAGAAAAGCTGATGTGTTGGACGATTTAAGTTGTTGTCCCTTTAGCATTGTGTTTTTAAGTGTATTTCAAAGGTGTCCAGAGCCTTGGATGGGTGTCCTTTGGTGTGGGGCTGTTTTTAGATAGAAATGAAAGGAAAAGTTATAGGAAACATCATCTAAATCAGATCAGGCATTGGACCTAACTTCTAATTAAATAGTAACTTGATCCTCGAGGCCAGTGTTTCTCAACCTTTTTGATACCAGGGACTGGCTTGCTGCCTTCCTAAACTGTGTCAGGGAGATCTCAGGGACTGGTGCTGGTCCACGGACTGGTTGCTGAGAAGCACTGCCCAGGTGAATGCGGATCTCTTAGAAAGGCTGCTTTGGTTGAAGGGCCTGCCAAGGTGTTTGAAGATGTATTAGATGTGCAGTTATAGGTTAGTTTGCTGTTGAATTCTAGGGCGGTTCTGTTTTTTGTGTTTACCTACATATGCTGTTTTCTGTGTGCAGACTTTATTCGGGAATTAAGGGTAGAATGTTTGCTACTTTAGGCAAACTTGGAATGTCACAATCATGAATTGCTAAACATTATACTGCCTCTAATACAAACCTGGCAATACTCACTTGGAGACAAGTCTTGATTTTGACAGTCATATAACATAAACATAGTGTTGAAAGTCTCTTTCCTTTGTTGAAGGATTTTGCATTATGTGTTTCAGGCCAGGTCTATGCTATAAACTTACATAAGTATAACTATCGCTCAGGGGTGTGAAAAATCCTACCACCACCACCGACTCCGCAGCTCCCATTGGCTGGGAACTATGGCCAATGAGAGCTGCGGGGGCGGGCAGCGCATGGAGACCTGCTGCCCCCACGCCTCTGGGACCGCAGAGACATGCCAGCCGCTTTTGGGAGCGGTGTGGGGTCAGGGCAGTCGGAGGGGAGCCTGCCTTAGCCCTGCTGCACCGCCGAACTTTTAGCGGATGGATATCGCAATCAACTGGCAGAGGCTCTGGGATCGACCAGTCGATCGCGATCGACTGGTGACCACTGGTCTAAAGCGTATGTAGGTCATGCTAATACCGACTATATTAGTACAGAGTTTCTGGAAATCCTGAGTCTTGGCACCAGAGGGTTAATTCTGAACTTTGTCCCTTCCTGTATTTCTGTGCCCTCCACTGTATGTTGGTGTGTGTGTGTGTGTGTCTTTAACTTATCCAGTGGTACAGGAAAATGTCTCTAAAATTCACCATTTGAACATACACTTGCAGACCAAGCCAACTTGCCTAGTCAAGGATTCACTTTTTCCTTTCCTAGAGGACTTCCATATTATTTATTCTCTGGAAAAAAAATTCAAATTGCATGTTTAAGTGGGGAGCTCTTATGGGGAGACTGTTGTCTTGCATTTATATATTTAATATCTTTCATCCTAAAGTTTCTTACAGATTTAGCAATAAATATATATAGGGGTCACTTTGCCTACCACTTTTGTGCAGCCAACTCTAGGTTAGAACATGTCAATTTAACAGTGCAGAGAAACTACACAATGGTTTTGGGGGAAAGTGAAGAACCCTGTACTCAATTAAAGTTCTAGAAATTATTGTAGACTGTAACTATGTTAATTTGAATTTGGCTGAGGAGGAGTTGTTATTTCTACTCTTTTGAAAAATGCTGTAGAATGTTATTGATTTACAAGTGGCTAGGATGTCTGTTTTTACCCCTTAAAGGAAAAATGGTACCTCCAAAGCTAATGTCTCCTAGCACTGTGCTGAGCTAGGTGTAAGTTCAACATTAATTTAAATTCCACAATGTAAACTTCTGAATTGCCAACACCACTTCCTGTCAGCATGTAGATACTCCTTAGTGTGTTAATACTATTCAGCTACTAACATAGCCTGACTCTACTTGAGCTCCAGCAGCTTCACAGCAAATGTCTGCAGAGCTGGTTGATAGTGTTTATTATTAGATAATACATGTTTAGAAGGTGTCCCATGACCAAAGGCCTCTGGATCTCCAGCACACAGAATATACAAAATAAGCAGCCAAAGTAAATTATACTTACTTTTGTGGCAATGCAGAAAAGTATAATTTTGAGCCCCGTAACTTGCAAAGTTTTTCAAATATCCTCCCCTCCACTTGGCTGACAGGTTGATCTTAATGACAGTTGCATGTTGTTATATGTAACCTGCTGCATTATTATCCATAAATTCACTATCACCATATTACAGTATCTAGGATTTTCCATTGAGATCTGCAACTTGGGGACAAGACTTTCAGTGGCTTGGTGACTGGCCGTAGTTGGATAATTATATTTTTTAGATCAATTATTGGGAATATTTGAGTATATTAAGAGAACCTTTGTTGACTGGCCAAATCGTAAGAATCACTCTCTATTCTAGAAGCTAAAATAGAGTAACACAGAAAAGGAGAGATGGTGGAGAGTTGGTGTAGTCTTGTATCTGTCAGTGACCAGATAACAAGGATAGGTTGGCCTGCTGGAAGTAAGTAGGGATCATTATATTAAAATCCCTTCCTCAGACTACTCAAGTTGTGGACATTGACAGAAAACTTTAATTCAGGAATAGTGTGAGATCACAGCTGCTTTCATGGAATGGGAAAGATTATTGGTAATGTTTCCTCCCAAGATGATAATACCAAATCCACTACTAGTTTCATGGTGGGCAGTTTAGGCAAGTATTAAGCACCTTTATACTGACTTTGATATTTACCTTGTTGCCTCAATCTAACTTTATCACATTTCTAGGCTCCTTTTTGTCCTTCTGCTTCATCTAACTCTGAGCTATTCTTGATTGGCCTTAGTTCTTCCTTCAGCCCTAGCTATTCAACTCAGGCCTTGTCTACACTGCCACTTTACAGCACTGCAACTTTCTCGCTCAGGGTGTGAAAAAACACACCCCTGAGCGCTGCAAAGTGGCAGTGTAGACAGTGCATCCGCGCTGGGAGCTGTACTCCCAGTGCTGGTAGCTACTCCCCTCATGGGGGTGGGGTTTTTTTTACAGCGCTGGGAGAGCTCTCTCCCAGCCCTCTGCCGCAACTACACAGCCTTGTTATAACGTTGCTAGTGAAGACATATCCATAGTCTCTGTTAGTGACCAAGACTTTAATAACTTCCTTTCCTCCTCCCCAGCCTTTTTTTTAACTTCGTCTCACTGATAGATACAACCATTTCAAAAGCTGTTTCCTCCTTTGTGATTTTGATGTCCTCATTTAACGTGTGCTGCCAATCCCTGTTTGATTTTTTTATTATCCTTTATCCACCTGCATGTTTTTGTACATTTGTAAAATTCTGTTTTTGTTATTTGCAACATGCTCAGAATCAATGGTGATACTTCTAGTATATGAAACAGCCATTAAGACCAGTTATTCTTATTTGGAGAGAACTGAAACTGTTAAAAGAAGGAAGGAATGAAAAAGTGATTGAAATGGATAGTCCAAAGTTCATATTTTGTTTACAAAGGCTAAGTGGACTGAATCTAGAAAAATGAGAAATTCTAAAGTATATGGATTAATAATGTTGCCAGCTGGGACAAGAAAAAAACAATGGAAGAGGACCTGATACAAGTGAATAGAAAAGCACAGAGTATCTCATTGTATGTGGTCAACAAATTTACCAAACAGCTTCTAACCAAGGCCAGTACGAAAGTGGGTGGTGAGGGCAGTTGGGTCCAGGCTCAGCATTCTGCTGAAAAGCCAAGTGTGCATCTCCTATTAGCCCTCCCTGGCTGTTGCTGTGGTGAAAGGCAGCATAGACATGCGTGCCTTAGCATTTCCTGCAGTGTGCTGCCCCTGGGCCTTAAGGGTATGGGAGCATCTTTCTTTATAGGCTTTGACTGGGAGGTGTATGATTAAAAAAATAGAGCTCCCCTTCCCTTGCTTGGCCTCTGGGTGTGTCATTGTTACTTGAACATGCAAGTTCCTGTCTGCTCTGAAAGATGGGAATCGCCATTCTCAGACTTGGTAGATCTCTGCCCCCCCTGGTGGGAGACAGGGGTTTTGTTCAGTGGTCTGCCCTTTATGAAGCATCTAGACAGGTAAAATACTGGCTACAGCTGTACTCTCCTGAACAATTTCATTTGCCATTGGTGAGAAAGCAGGTGTTTCCGAGCTTTGTTCGTGACAGTGTGGAGACTTAATAGCTCAGGAGATTGGTATGGGAATACAGAGCATCTCACCTCCAGATCATCTCTTTCAAATCTGACCCAGCCTGAGAGTCAGATTTGAAAGAGATTATCATTATAACTGTTTGGTAACCTCTGTGAAATTAGTTGTCATGTTCAGTTTGTGGTGAACAGATGCAGTATTACCTGCTCCATCTGCTTAAAAATACTGAGATTTTTAAAAAGTGGATTGTTTGTTTGTTTGCTTCTGGTTTTGCATCTTTATGGCTTCACATTTTTAAACTCTTCTCTGTAACCATAAGGGTTAGAAATTTAGTTTACATTCAAATATCAGCTTTCATTCTATTTTTGTCACAGGACCCAGGAGCTGGAGCTTTAAAGAAAAACACAAAATATTGTGAGACTTGTGATAAAATCACGAGAACTGGCAGCAATGTAGGTCTCTGCATCACAGTTTGATGCCCTTTTTAGATGTATTATCAGAGGCCTATGATTGAGTCTGTATGTTGCTCACATTTCTTCATCCTGAATTCAAGGCTCTGTACAACTTTTTTCTGCTTGCTTTTTCTGCTCTCATTTTCTCCTCATCTCACTCCTTTCACATAAGTCCCCATGTACATGCTCCCTTTATTTCCTTCTTCCGTTCTCATCTTCATGCCTTCTTCTATGCTTCCCCTTTTGCTTAGAACAGTCTTTCTTGTCTTTCAGCCCCACTTCACTGAAATACTTCCTTACATACAGAACATTTATTTTCAAAGCCTTTCAGTGATAACTCACCAGTAACGGAAGTTTAAATTATTTTAAATAAATATATTGGTGAAAGATGTGAAAACCGCTCACACTGTATGCTTAATGCCCCATGCTCCCCAAGAGAAGTATCCCCCTTCTCAGTATTTGCTGTGTTCCTCTTTCTCCCCAAGTAGTCTTTTGTCATTTTTTTGTATTTTTAATACAAGATTGTAAGTTCCTCTCTTCTCAGCAAAGCCCATGTTGCCTTATTCAGCTGTAAAATACTTTGTACACCTATGACACCATCTAATAATGAGTGAACATAAAAATTGAACTATCATTTGTAGAAGTGGTTTCTGCAGGGCAGGGTGGGGAAACATGCACGGTTGTTGCCTACATTATCTCTGTCCTATGAGTAAATAAAGGACCTACATGTCCCCGGTTGTCAAGCCAGCTCCATGAATATTGTGAGTGAAGAGTCTTGTTACTTTACCTGAGGATTGTGGATACTCAGAAAAACATTAGTTTTAGCTGCATTTTGCGTCCATGTTAAATGCTTTGAAATCTCTGCTGAAATGAGGAGATAAAAGTATGCATATGAAGAAATGATAAAACAATGTTTTCTGTGATCCTGATATTAAATTCCTCAGGATATTCTACAACTGTCTAAGTAGCTACCTGTTATGATGCATGTTTATTTATTGCCCAATACAGTCTAAGAAATATCCAATGTAGGACATTCCTAATTATGCAAGAAATTCTGGGCAATTTGTAGAATTGAAAGCCCTTGGAAAATTACAAATAGCACAACATTGTGTCAGTCTATTCATATCAATGCAATATACACCCATATAAACAGCTTTAAACCAGTATAAGTGTGTCCACACAAAAATTTATTCTGACTTAGCTAAACTGGTCAAGTTAAATCAGTGCAAAAACTGTATGTAGTTTAAATGAGAAACTTAAAGGGACATTGTCAATTTAAAAACCACACTTGTCTAAGAAACTTGTGCCTACTTTTGCAAGTGAAGATTTATGTATCTGAAAGGTCAGAGAAATATTTTTCTTATGTACTTTTATTGTTTGTGCATTTGACAACTTCCTGTGGATAGTTAGTTTCACTCTTTTCCCTGTATAGTCAGCTAGTCAGTCAGTTTCTCCTGTTTTGTAGACCTTTTGCACAGCAACAGGAGAGACAGAGACACTTAACGGGCCTTGGACTGTCAGTGCAAGGTGCTACCACAAGAATCCCGTAAAGCCAGTTTGTGCAAACTTGCAGTGTGGACAGTGACTCATTTGCATCCATCCTTACACCTACATCTTTGTTCTAAACCTGACTAATGCTTCGCTTTCCCTGTGAGTGAACTAAAATGAGCAGATAAGTTTCAGCTGTTTAAAACGTCACACCTCAGAAAGAAGCATTTCATTAAATACAGTATCTGCATTACAATTGGAATTGCAAGAGTTAAGACATCTTTTCCAGCAAGTGCTTTGTAGACCAATGGTGTCCATAGAACACAGTTTGAGAGCCTCTGCTTTAATGTATTTTTATACTGTATTCCTCATGATTAAAGTGCCTTAATATTCTTAAAATTTATTAAGCCCAAATCTGTGATCCATGTTTCCTTGACATGAACACTTACATACAATTTTGATTCAAATAGTATCTCCTTAGCATATTGGATCAAATTGTAGAAGTAGTTGCCGGTGCACATATACTGTACATAAGCCTGAGCATCCTTAAGCTGGACGCAGCCCTAGATAGGGCCTGAATCAAAATACACATCTGAATTGCAGATTGAACCCATCTTTCTAATGGGCTGAACACTTCAAACTTTGGGAAAGATCAGATTTGAATCCAGAGTCTGAACCTACACATCTAGCAGCATCCAGGTCTGGGGTTTGTCTCATCCCATTATATAGATGAAGTTCCAGGATCATATTTATACAAAAGGGGTGGAAAGCTGACTATATACATGTATCTCAGTTAAGCGATACAGGTCACCAGCATCAGCTTTCGCTCTTATGGTTAGAAGTATGGTATCCTCACAATACCCTGTGTCAAGTATCAGAGGGGTAGCCGTGTTAGTCTGAATCTGTAAAAAGCAACAGAGGGTCCTGTGGCACCTTTAAGACTAACAGACATATTGGAGCATAAGCTTTCGTGTGTGAATGCCCACTTCATCAGACGCACTCCAATACTTCTGTTGGTCTTAAGAATACCCTGTGTGTGTCTGTATATCAGATAGTTGAGCTCAAATATAGAACTTTTTTCTGTCTGGGAGGAGTTAAGGAGGAGACTCTTTCCCACACTTAGATCTTAGGCTAGCAGAAAATGCTTTTGGCATGAAAGGAATGGTAACTGCTGTTTAAAGTACTAGAACAAGAAAAACTTCACGTTCTTTAGTGTGCAGTATTTTCAACCTCTAACCACTTAGAAAAAAAATCATGAGAGTTGGCGATACTGAGTGTGCGTGGCTAGAAGGAAACTGTTACGCTTGCTCTGTAAAAGTGCATCATTGATGGATTCTTCTTAGTATTCCCACATTGCCACAGAAATTGTTTTAATTTTTTTTATTATTGAGGACTGGCTGATGCAGTCTCTTTTTACAAGTGCCATTACTGAGTGCTAATTCTGGGCTTTCTTTTGCTTCCTGCAGGTTAGCACCAATGCGATTGTATACACTGTCCAAACGACACTTTGTTCTGGTCTTTGTTGTATTCTTCATTTGTTTTGGTTTGACAGTCTTCATAGGAATTGCAGGTAAGATTATTATTGTCTTTTTTTAAAACTATGGCTGTTTCTATACCTTAACTTGTGTAAATAACTTATTCTCCACAGATTTGCTCCAGTGTTAATGAGGCTAGTGCCTTGAGATCTCTGGAGCTGTACATAGCTACAAGTCTGCATCTGATGTTTACAGTTTTTTTCTTACATATGTATTGAATAGATTTCCTTGCTTAGTTGTACAGTTTCTGTACTGAAGTAGATGCTAATTAAGCAAATGGTGCATTTAAGATTAGCTAAATGGAAGATTGATGTGTCTAAGAAGCCTTGGTCTGCTGATTACAGGTGGCTAATACCTGCATACATTTGGGATAGAAAAGCAACATATTAAGAGGAAGTATGGTGATTAAAACACAGGACTGGGTGTTAGAAATCTGGGTACCATTCATGGCTGTGATGTTACTCAAAGTGGCTCTGTGAAAAATGGCATCGTGTGGTGTTCCACCTCCCGTCTCAATGACTCCATCTCAAATGTGCTCAATTTACAAATAGAAAGCCTCTCCTTTTACTTGTGTGTGTGTGTGTAACTGTCAGCCCTGCAACTGCAAATTCAGCTTGAGATCTGAGAATCAAACTGCATTCTTTAACTTGTACAGCTTCAATAGTACAAACAATTTACCACTCATTTATACTAATGCAGCCCTGTTGTCTCAGATTATGCCCTTAGTTACAGCTGTCAAACCTTATTGCCTTCAGTGAGGATTATGCAAGTGTAGCTAAGGAAAATAGCTGACTCTGTAATTAGAATACTGTGCATTGTTCTGATGCACAGGCCAGAAAAGAATCCAGTTTATTCTTCCAGAGGGGTGTGCCTTCTGCAGAGCTGGCAGTAGTAAATACTTTGCAATAGTAAGTGAGTACACATGAGCAGATCTCTTGAATAAGAAGGTGTAGCTTTTTACTTAGAATCACACTTTATCCTCTCTCTGCCTCAGTCTTTCCATCTGTAAAATGGTGGGGATAATACTCTGCTTCCCTATGAGGGTGTTGAGAATTAATTAATTGTTTGTAATGCATTGGATGGAAGGTGACATAGAAATGCAAAATATTTTTGATAATACTGTAAAGTGGGCAAACAGCTTTTCATTAATAAATAGTAACTGAGTCTCCAGTTTAAAATGTGGCTGAAGGTCTGTGTTACTCTGTGGGGGCCATGTTATGTTCCAGGATTTTGGAGGCTGAGGGTCACTTGTGGAGTGGTGGTGGTGGTCTTGAGAGTAGGATCGGGGGTATCTATATCATATGTTATGGTGTTATTTTGGTAACATACTAGACAAGAATTCTAAATTCATTCTGGCCATCATGCAAATGAAGAAGATGGAAACATTTTTCTGTTCAGTGCTGCTGAACTTTGCCACACTCAAAAGCTGCTTTAAAAAAATGAACAAAAAATAACTGTAGCATAAATGAGCAAAAATCAGCCATAAAATAGAACCGTCTTAGATGCTGTTAGTTTGTCTCTTAAAATTTCAGAACCAAACTAACTGCCATCATCTTCATACATAAGAGTGACGTTGCTGGGAGGTGCCTGGGGGCAAATTAGGGCAATGCATGGTCCTTAATGTGATTTTTTTGTGAATGTAGTTTTCAGATTACATCTTTTATGAACTATTAAGCAAGAAATGGGAATGGCTTCATTAGAGCTGTTTCTGACTCAGCTAAATAATTGGGCCATATTCTTCTGTTATGTGTGCTACATTCAATTCTAATTACTTGATTGGGACTTGCAGGCATGTGACAGCTGGCTTTGACTAATAATGGGCAAAGCAATGCTCTCGTAAAAGTGAAAAAATTGAGCTGTTCAGGCCTAATGAATGACCGTTCTCAGTATGGAATTTTGTTATTAGTGTGTTGCATTGCATCTACTTGCATGTAGCTCTGATGATGTGGATGCCCCTGTCCCATGTAACTCTGCTGTTGTAAGGAATTCATGGTTCTTTGTACCCTGTTGGAAGTGTGGTCCGACCTTTGATTTTCTTCAGGAATTGGTGGTGCTGTGGGATTCTTATCCTCATGAGATTGCTTTGGCAGCCAGGTGTGTTGACAGGGCATGGACCCAACTCATTATTATATTGATTGATTTTTGCTTTTAAAAGGACTTACTTGACCTTGTGAGGAAAAACATTTGATCTACCTTTTTATTATGCTCACTTGCAGAGTCCATATCATTCTTTTAAAAAGTACTTTCTGAGTGCATTTTGGTTTTAAAAACTAAACACCTAGCTGCACATTCCTGAGCAAACCTACAGAAAAAACCTGGTCTGTCTGTAAGAGTTTTTTTCCCCCCTTTCTTTTAAGCAAGGAAACATTTCAGTTTGTTGTTTAAGGGAAACTGGGGAGAAAATACTTGGGGGGGAGGGAGGATTGTAAATTCTTGGTAAGCCCCCAACTATTTTTTCAAAGTGCACCAGAAAAATACTATTCTTGATTATAAGACCCATAGTTCACATGCTGGTCATAACAAACACTTAGATACTTGTGTGAATACCTACCTGTGAAAAGAGAATATACAGCATTATGGGCCCTTAAGATTGTGATATATTTTTTTCACTAGTTGGTAGCACTAGATTTGTTTTACTCCATTATTAACAACCCCATGTTCTCTATATGGGGGAGGGGTATGCACAGTGCAGTGCTCACTAGTTAAAGTTGTATGACATTAGTGAATATCACACACACACACACACACACACACACACACACACAAAAACTGAGCAGACTGAAAGAAGCAAGAGGGGATGTGGTGGGAGGGACTTGAGGGTATGTCTGCTGTCTCTCACTTGTACATTCTATTCCACACATCTAGTGTGTTTACCTGCAGTACTGGGAACTGAGTAGGAGCCTTATTCCTACGTGAGAGCAGGCGTTCCTTTAATTAAAGATGTCTGCTGCTCTGATCTTTGTAACCCAGGACCTGGTTCAGATCTGTTGTCTCTAAGAGGCATCCATTCTCCTCCCCTTTTCATGGTTCTTTCGTGCTAGTTCTGGGGAGTAAAGAATGCAGAAGAGATGCAAGTTGGCCTATGAAGATGCTGAGCTTGTTTTCTGTGCTGGTACAGTTTTTCTGCTCACCTACCTAAGTTCTCCTTAATTCTGTAAAGGTTCATTTTCACTGTTTCTGTGAGGCTGAGTGTATAATAGTTTGTTCATTATTCTTTAGTTCCATGACTAGAAGAGCCATTCAGTCTGCTGCTTTAACAAATCAATTTAAATGTCACTTGTTGAAAACAACATCCATATCTGCAGTAGAACCTCGATAAAACCATTCACATTTTTTATGTGTATAAGGATCAATTTATGTAAGGTTACGTTTACGTCATGGAGGTCATGAAAGTCACGGAATCCGTGACTTCCAGAGACCTCTGTGACATTCTCTGCTTGCTTCAGTGCCAGGGGCTGCGGGACTCTGGAGCTGGCAGCCAGTGGGGCCCTGGCAGGGTTCCAGCGACAGGTGACAGACTCCTGAGGGGGCCCTCCTCAGGGTTCCAGCAACAGGAGACAGCCTTGTGCGCAGGTTGGGGGAACCACCTCAGGCGAGTGGCTGGGGGTTTCCCATTTTCTCTTTGGGAAATATGATCACCCTGCAGTTTCTAGCTCCCATGGATGCAGAGGGGGAACCCCACAGCTCCCAGCCACACAGTGGTGGGAGAAACCATGGAGCTGCAGCAGCAAAAGTCACAGACAGGTCACGGCTTCCATGAATTTTTGTTTATTGTCTGTGACTTTTACTAAAAATCTTAGCCTTAATTATATGTAACCTAGACACAAACATAGGTAATTCCCTTCAACGGGCCAAGATGGTCAAAATCCAACACTCATTCCACTAATGATCATTACTGTAACCACAAGGCATGCAAATGGTGCACTGGGTACTCTAATGCTGTAGGGCAACTTCAATAGATCTCTCTTCCCTAATAATGCCTCCTCACTTCTACCTCTAGACACAAGTATTTACCACAGCACCAGTCTTTATTGGACAGTTACAAATAATTTATTAATCACAAACATAGCAGAGTCAATTTTAGTTGGGGTGGGCTGTGAATTTTTAATAGGATTGTAAAAAAAAAAAAAAAAAAAAAATTAGTTGTAAGGAAATATCTAGTGTCTTATTTGAATGCATTTGTAGCATGTGGTAGAGTAGGGATCTGGGACTTGGCACTCCTGACTTGTAGTCCTTGTTCTGCTACTTAATTGTTGAGTGGCCTTGCATAGCTATCAAGGGACTTGCCCCTCAGTTTACACATCTATAACCTGGTGTAATATTTGCCTGCTTCACTGGGGTATTGCTTAACTAATATTTGCAAAGTGCTTTGAATCCTGAGATTAAAGATACTTCAGACTTGTATAATTGTCTTACTATGATGTCATTATTTATGGATTTACTTCAGTACTGTCTTCTCTCCTTTTGACTATCATTTAGGTCCTAGTGTAATTGAATCCACTGCAGTAACAGCTAAATTGAATAACTTAAAGGTAAGAACTACATTATATTGTTGTTACATGGCAGGCACTGATGACTTTATTTGTTAAAAAGTATTTTATTAATTTACACACCTGCTTAAGAAGTAAGATTTTAAATGAAAAATTATATTTTGATATATCTGTGTGTCGTGCTTTCCAACTTGCACGAGAATTCAGAATTTACTGGCTAAATTTTCTCGGATTAGTGCTTTATGCTGCCTCATGAGTAAAGCTCCGTGTTTGTCACGGAGGTCATGGATTCTGTGACCTCCATGACTTGTGCAGTGGCTGGTGGGCCTGGCCCGGGGGCAGCTTGGGCAGCCCCTGGGCCAGGCGCAGCGGCTGCTGCTGGAGCAGTCTCTGCTCCCCCCCACACACCCCCAGCAGCAAGAGTTTGGGTGTGGGGGTGCTCAGGGCTTTGGATTGGGGTGCTGAGCAGTGCTTACCTGGAGGGGGGGGCTCCCCCCCCAGCTCCTAGCTCCATGTGCTGCCTCTGCTGGCAAGCACCACCCTGCAGCTCCCTTTGGCTGTGATTCCCGGCCAATGGGAGCTGTAGAACTGGGGCTTGGGGTGGAGCGGAGGCAGCAAGTGGAGCTCAGGAACCGGGTAGGGAGCCTTCTCCGCCCCCCCCCCCCCCCCCCCCCCCCC